CCATTCAATAGTTTGTACATAAAGTGTTCCATGACATTGGTTTCATTCCCCACAATGTGTCAGCACTCTCCCCATTTCCACCCTTGTTTCCCCGTTTCCTTTCGTCTTGATTTTCTACCCATTCTTGCCTTCTTATCTTTGCTCTTGGTCAAATATTGCCTTTATGAGCTCATAGAATTGATTGTTCTAAGGAGCACATTCCTCTCGGGTGTTATTGTTTATTTTGTGGGCCTGTCTATTAGTTTGGCTGAAAGATGGTCTCTGGGAATGGCTTCAGTCTCTTAAGGCCATAGTCTCGAGGGTTCCTCCAGCCTCTGTTAGACCAATAAGTCTGGTCTTTTTTGTGAATTTGACTTTTTGTTCTACAATTTTTCTCCCACTCTGTCCGGGACCCTCTGTTGTGATCCCAGTCAGAGCAATCGGTAGTGGTAGGTGGGCACCCACTAGTTCCTCTGGTCTTGGGGTCTTGTAGGCTATGGTACATGTGGTCCATTAGTCTTTTGGACTAATCATTCCCTTGAATATTTGGTTTTCTTCACTCTCCTTTCCTCTGGTTGGTAAGAGACCAATAGATGTATCTTAGATGGCCACTTGCAAACTTTTAAGACCCTAGACACTACTCACCAGAGTAGGATGCAGAACTTTGTCTTTGTGAACTATGTTGTGCCAATTGATGTAGATGTCTTCCGAGTCTATGTTCCTTCGCCTCTGAGCCTAGGAATTTCGTCCCACAAGGTGTTTGTTTATATCTAAGTTGCCCTGCCTGTGGCCCCTGTGTGTTCTATTGTCTATATTAATATATAAGCAACATCTACAGTTATAGTTATATATGTAGAAATATCCACCACCCAACCTATATCTGCAGGTGGATATATTCGCTTATACCCTCCACGCCTCTTGGCATACCTATCTACCTATAGAAAAATGTCTTTTGATATGGTCCACATCACTTACTTATATCACCTGCCTAAGCCCTGTAGATTTTTTTGCTTACAGCTAACTCCCAGTATAGAGGAAGGAGGCTTGGACCCTGAGTCCTGTCAGCAACCCACCATGTGACCCCAAGCACAGAAAATAGCCTCTGTGGATTTCAGAGTTAGGAGACTAAACTGGATATTCTTTTGAGAGCTCTAACATCCTGGAAGGCTTGGGATATCGTAGTTGGCCAGTATCCCTTCCTCAGCCCCCAATCTGTCAGTGGCCCCAGCCCGGTGTGTATGTCAGAGAAAGAAGACACTGACTGGAAGGAGTAAGGTGCTTATATCAATAATGTATAACTCAAGCCCATAGCCAGGGAGAAGAATGTACACGGTGGTGTGTGTGTGTGTATATGTAGCAGCAAGTGGACTTAAGTAAGCTATACTTGTATGGGTTTGTGCTTATCTGTTTCTGTATACCTTCTATGGATGGACTTTATTCTAGGTGCTAGGGAATTAGCAGTGAACAAGACAGACAAGATCTCTGCTCTCATGGAGCTTATATACTACAGATAAAATACAAAGAGTGGGAAATTCCAGGAAGAAAACAAAACAAAATGATTTGATAGAGTTTGTGGAAGGACACGCTGTACATGTAAGTGGGTACATAAATGCGGTGCGTATACTTGCAGATCGGCCCATGTCTGAGACCTGGGTGCATATTTTTATACTTATTTGTGCAAATGGGCAGGTTTTTGCCTAGAATGTTTATATATTAATATGTGTGATTTTATGCATGCTAGTGAACACAGGTCAGCTGGTTGGTGATACATGTGGCGAAGTGTACATGACTTGTGGTATATGTGGGCATTCAGCCCTAACTGGAGACATTCTGAAGTTCCTGTGTCACTTGTCAGTGGGACAGTTAAGGAAATGGCATTTCTGTCCCTGGCATTCAGGGCTATTTGCCAGCTTCCTCGCTCCCTGTTCCTTCCCAGTTTACTTAGCTCCCTGTACTTGGCTCTGCTCAGTCCTAGGAGGCTAAGCCAAAGAGAGGACAATAACTGACTTATTGAACCAGGATCTGGAAAGAGGCTGAGAACCTTCTGTAACCTCTGTCCATAAGAAAAGACCTGTCTTCCCTGCAGTCCCTATCCTTCACAGTATGAGGGAAAAGAGTCCTGACTTGAAGTCAGAAGACCTGAGGGTCTATTCTTGGCTCTGCCACTTATTATTGTGTGACTTTGGCCAAGTTACTACATCTCTTTGGGTTTCATAAATACTCTGGGTAGTAAGGAAGAAGAGCAAGCACAATGGCCTGGAGTGCTTAGGGAGGGTTATGTAGTGCTGGTGCCTTAAAGGGGAGAAGGAAGGGCATTCTGAGCAGGGGAAATGACATGGTCAAAAGTGTGGAGGTGGGCCTGAGCTTTGTGTGTAAGGGAAGCCAGGGGGAAACCACTTAAAATAAAATTAAAATTTCTTACAATTGCCTACAAGGACCCGTGTGATCTGGCTGCTGCCTACCTCTCATTCTTACCCTCCTTCTTGCTAACTATGCCCCAGCTATGCTGGCTACTTTCAGTTCTTTGAATAGACCAAGCTCATTATTGCCTCAGTGCCTGTCCATCTGATGTTCTCTCTGTCCAGCATACCCTTCCTAAGTATTCATATGGTTGTCTACTTCTCATTACTCAGGTCTTAGCTCAAATATCACCTCTCCAAGGAAAGGCCTTCCTGGATAATTCTGTCTAAATTGGTTGACACCTAGTATTTATCAATATTTAAAATGCACACACTCTTTCACCCAACAATTCCACTTCTAGTAATTTGTCCTACAGATATACTTGCAAGTGAGTAAAATGACATGTGAATAAAGACATTCATTGAGGCATTTATTTGTTAAATAAATTATGGTACATCCAAATAGTGGAATATTATGTAGCTGACAGAGAATGAAACAGCTCTATATGTCTTGATGGGGAACGATATCATAGTATATTGTTAAAAAGTTTTTAATAAAGCAAAATGATCGAGCTCTACACTTAAGATTTGTGCAGTTTTTTGAATGCGTATTTCACTCAATGAAAATTTTTTATGAGGATACAGAATAATGTGTATAGTATGCTATCATACGTGTAGGAAAAAGGAGCACATATAAATATAAATACATGTATGTAGTCCCTGGGTGATGCAAATGGTTAATCCTCTCAGCTGCTAACCAAAAAGGTTGGAAGTTCCATTCCACCCAGAGGCACCTTGGAAGAAAGTCCTGGTGATCTACTTCCAAAATATCAGCCAATGAAAACCCTATGGAGCACAGTTCTACTGTGACACACATGGGGTCACCCTGAATCGGAGTTGACTTGTTGGAACTGGTTAATGCTTGTCTAACAGGCCTGTCCCTTGGGTAGAGCAACTCTCCTTACCCTACCACTCCATGCTTGGGTGGGGACTATGAGGTGCTTACCTCTTTTCTGAACAGCATTACAATTCAATTTTAAAATGTCTGTCTTCAGTGATATCCCAAGGATCTTATGAAAGATACTAACAGTGTAACCTTCTTCCAAAGTGATTATCTTGGTCATTCCACACTAGTTGAGTTGCCTTTGGCCTTTCATCCTACTAGGGGTGGCCCTGTCTGCATGTTGACTATCTCTGGTATGTTACTCAAAATACTAGTGGTTGTGTCTAGGTAGGGTGACTGGGAGATAGGGATGGGAGGGACACTTGTCATTACTTATCATTTTATGTAATATTGTTTGTATGTATTACCTATTCAGAAAATCATGAAATTAAAAAAAGAAAAACATTGAGGGGAATGTTTTTGTAGCTAAATCTTTGCATGCTATCATAAAAATTACTTAAAATAAAAAATATTTCTCCCCAGTTGCTCATTATTATATCCTTCTGCTTTGTTTCCTCCATAATGCTGGTCATAATCTCAAATTATCATGGTTACAGTTGTTACTTATTACCTGCATTACTATTGCAATAAGCTTCATGATGACAGGGACCTTGCTTATATTGTTAATCAGTGCCTTATCTATGTATGTGTATTATAACACATAGTAGGTGTTGAATAAACAAATGAAAGAAGACTGAAGAAAACCAGGCTAAAGCCTAGGGAGGAATGGGAGTTAAGGCTGAGTCGCAACCCATTGCCATCAAGCTGATTCCAACTCATGGCGATCCTACAGGACAGAGTAGAACTGCCCCATAGGGTTTCCGAGGCCGTGCATACTGCCACATCTTCTCCCATGGAGCAGCTGGTGGGTTTGAACCGCCTACCTTTCGGTTAGCAGCCGAGAGCTTAACCACTGCACCACCAGAGCTCCTCTAAGGCTAAGTAACCCGTTGCCGTTGAGTTGATTCCGACTAATAGCGACCCTATAGGACGGAATAGAACCGCCTGATGGGGTTTCCAAGGAGTGGCTGGTGGATTCGAACTGCTGACCTTTTGGTTAGCAGCCAAGCTCTTAACTACTACGCCACCAGGGCTCCGTTAAGGCTGAGTAGGTAGGTAGAAATCAGCTGATAGAGGAGGTAATTCGGAAACTTTAAATGTGCGTTGGAATTACCTACTGATTCCTTACACCAGCCTGTATAAAGAGGGTTTAATAAAGAAGCAGATTCTTGTGCCCTGTGATTCTGATTTAGTAGGTCTGAGCTGGGGCCCTGGAATCTACGTTGTAACTATTTTCCTAGGCGATTTGGGTGCAAGTGATCTGAAGACCCCACTTTAAATAACACTAATGCAGTCTTGATACCTCACTCTGGAAGAATCACAACTATGATATCATTTTCCATTGGATGTAAGAGAAAGGACCATCCTACCATTTTATGGTTAAAACTGAGGCTCAGAGATGGACAGTGCATTTTCCAGTGAGACACAGCAAGTGTATAAAGTATCTTGAAAGGCCAAAGCATCTGAACAGTCATCTCAAGGTGTGGTGGCAGGTGGCAGCTGGACATTCCTACACCTTGGTGTTACTGGATGGATTTTCTGACTATCCATGTTTTTTTTTTTTTGTTTGGGAAAGATGTTATACTTCCTAATGACTTGTTCTTTCTGGTGTGTCTCAGGGAGGGCAATGAGCCAGAGGAGACTACTCACATCACCTACCTTGAGCTTCTAGTCCAAGTATGTCGGTTCAGCAATGTTCTACGAAAACAGGGTGAGTGTAGGGGTATGGGAAGGGGACTGGGGGCCTGGCCTTGGGATATCTGAAGACTTAGGGTAAATGGGCAAGGAATGGAAGGAATCTGGTAACAGGAACAGAAGAGGTCCACTGGCAGGGACCAGCTGCATAGGAAGGAGTGAGTAGGAGCAGGAAGGGTCCATGGTTCATGGTCTGTGTCCTTTACCTGCAGGCATTCGGAAGGGTGACCGAGTGGCCATCTACATGCCCATGATCCTGGAGCTGGTGGTGGCCATGCTGGCATGTGCCCGCCTTGGGGCTCTGCACTCCATTGTGGTAGGAGTTTTAGCTGGTAAAAGGGGGCAGGGGTGGGAAATGGGGCTCTGGAGAAGTAGGTTGGGCCTGGAAGATGGAGTGTCTTAAATACCAAACTAAGGAGTTTAGAATGTTTCTACCATAGGCCCATATCAGTTATCCAGTTTCTTCTAGGCCCCTGGCTTAGAGACCCTGAAGGTTTCATGAGTGACTCTTTTCTTTGGTCACTCAATCCTTGGAGCCTCCCTTCTTCCTCAGTCTTTCTTCCCCTTCCCTAGTTTGCAGGCTTTTCTGCAGAATCTCTATGTGAACGGATCGTGGATTCCAGTTGCAGCCTTCTCATCACTGCAGGTGAGTAATTCTCTCACCCCTTCTCTAAACTCCTCCCCCTCCACTCAGAGTTTTGGTTTTCAATTAGCTCATTAGTATTTGGGATTGCTCACTGTAGAGAGTAGAGACTGCCTGCCTTTCCTCTCCTTGTCCTGCCTCAGATGACCCTCAGGTGAAAGAGTCAGAATCAAGAGACCCACTCAGGAAGGGTTCTTTGGACATTGTGCTAACTAGGGTTAAGTGGCTAAAGGTGTGTTGTCCTTCTAAGGCATGAATGTCTGTTGTTCCCCAAAGATGCCTTCTATAGGGGGGAAAAGCTTGTGAACCTGAAGGAGCTGGCTGACGAGGCCCTGGAGAAGTGTCGGGAGAAGTAAGTGTGTTTGGCCAGATGGCTACTGCCTTGGGTCGACTGGGCCTTTTCCTAGTGCCAGGTTCTGGGGCTCAGACTCCTTTTATCCCCCCTACCCTAGATGGACCTGGGTGGGTCCTGCTAAATTATCTTTTGAGACAACCAGTGCACCACTTCAGGCTTTTATTTCCTCCAGGGGTTTCCCAGTGAGATGCTGCATTGTGGTCAAGCACCTAGGACGGGCAGAGCTGGGCATGGGTGACTCCCCCAACCAGCCCCCTCCGATTAAGAGGCCATGCCCAGATATGCAGGTGAGTCTGGTATTTCTCTGCCCTCCTCTGGGCTCAAATTGGCTCCCTCTTCCTGCCCAGGAAGTTCTTGATAGCCTCCTAATGGTGAGGTTCTGGGAACAATCCTAGGAATGCCTCCTGTGGAAGAGCTGGGAACTGGGGGACTTCGACTTTGAATGTGGGTAGAGAGCCCCTGTACCTCAGGGGACCTTAGCATGAGAGATTGTGAGGGAGACCCTTGTGCTAGTTGGGATATCCTGGTGGGCAGAGGGGATCTTCAGGGCTTGGGCTTGGGTTAGAAATGTGACTTGGATATGTAGTTACCTTGATTACACTGGGCTGTGGTTTGGGGTAGACTGCTTTTGTGAACTAGGGAATACTTACCATGGAAGGACCAGGGTCTGGGCCTCAATCTATGGCCCTTCTTAGCTTTGGATATAGTATTTCTGATGGGAACAGTAGAAGAGCCCAGTGGCAGCCTCCAGATCTGAGGGGCATGAGGGATGAAAGTTCCAGTGTCCAGAGGGACAAAAATTTCCTGAGATTCTGTGACTTGAGGGGCCCTGAGTTGTCTTGGGGCTGGAGAGGCTATAGTCTATTCTTGGTTGGTTGGAGACCCCCATCAGTATTAGGGCTGGGATGAGGATCAAGAAAATGGAGGCTGGACCAGTGAGATGCAGCCTGAGTACAGGCAACCAGGGATTTGGGGCACACTGATCTTTCCCTCCTGCTCCCCAATACTCAAGCCCTGCTCACCAGCTTTTCCATGGGCTGTTAACAGGGAAAGCTGAAAGTGAAATCCAAGCGCATCAGGCCCCAGGTATCTACCTCTGCACTGCCTTGGGCACTGCTTCCCTGCATGCTTGTCTGTGTGTCCATCTGTTCTTTGCCTGTTTGCCCCATTGAGTTGGCTGCCAGGCCCAACTCCCTTCCTCCTGTCCCTGGCCTGTTGCCATCTAAGCCACTCTGAAGGGTTGTGAAATCAAATGCCTCTTGTTGCCTTTCTGAACTGGCATAGAGCATGGATCTTAGAGAAGTAGCAACAGATACCCAGTTTCACTCCTGCTGCTCAGGACCTTTGTGGGAGAGGGGACCAAGTAACTTGCCAGAAAGCATTTGCTGTGCACTTAGCTGAGGCAGAGCCAGGAGACAGGAGGAGGAGCACATGGAGGAGGTACAGACTCCGACCTGGGGAATTCACCATCTAGTTTACATACTACTTTGGGTTTTATAAACTGCATATAAATTATCTAATATTAAGGGCCAAATTCAACAAAAATCACATCGTAGATGGTTCTAAGCAGAAAGATACTTTTAAGTGAGGGATCAAAGCAGATTAGTATTGAGGAGAGAGTGGGCCTGGAATCCAAAAACCTGGACACCAATTTTTAGCTATATGACCTTGAATAAGTCACCTCTCTTCTCCAGGCTTCAGTTTCCTTATCAGTAATGGAGACATAATAATTCATGCTTAAAAAATCAAAACATAAAGCCCACTGTACCTCTGAGCTTTATCATCCTCATAGGGTGCTTACTCTAAATGCTCTATGATTTACTGCTTAGGTTAGTGGTAGTTATAAGCCCTTTTTCTATATTCTCACTAGCATGGTGGAGACAGATCTGATTCCTAACAGACATTGCTTCCCCTTTAAAACGCAGACAGGGGCCGAAGCTTCTTCTCTTGAAAAAGGTATCAAACTTAGTGGTTTAGAGTATAGGTTCTGGAGCCAAACTACTTGGGTTCAAATCCTGACTCTGTTACCTGCTACTGTGTAAGCTTGCACAAGTTACTTAACCTCTCTTGCCTCTGTTTCCTCATCTGGAAAGTAAGTGTAATAACTGTACCTACCTGATAGGACTTTATCAATATATGTAAAGAGCTTGGCATTTAGTAACTTGATAGTATACTCGTTAAATGTTAGCTTTTATTGTTTCCCCTTAACATAACAGACAGGCTAGCATTTCTAAAAAAGAGGCTAGCATTTCTAAAAAAGAGACCAGAAAAGAATGAACAAATTCTTTTTTTTTTCTTTTTTATTGTACTTTAGATGAAAGTTTAGATGAAAGATGAACAAATAGTTTCTCATTAAACAGTACACATATTGTTTTATGACAATAGTTAGCAACCCCACAACATGTCAACACTGTCCCCTCTCAACCTTGGGTTCCCTATTACCAGCTTTCCTGTCCCCTCTTGCCTTCTAGTCCTTGTCCCTGGACTGTTGTGCCCTGTTAATCTTGTTTTATTTTATGGGGCTGTCTAATCTGTGGCTGAATGGTCAACCTCAGGTGAACACATTCTTGAATTCTTAATTCAAGACCCTTAGGCCATAAGCTCTTGGATTTTTTTTCTTTTTTTTGAGGTGCAAAAAATCAGTTACCAAAAACCAGTGTATAAAAATAGGCTTACAAAGTCAAGGTTGGTTGATCTGGGAGAATTGCAGTCAAATCTGCATAAATCTTGGCAGAGTTCCAAACACTCTTCATCCTTAAGCAATCTTCAAGCAGGGGTGGATTATCCAATAGTCAAGGTAAGCACAGTGCTTACTTTGCTTACCAGATCCCCTGTAGTGAACAATTTCACATTTTTTCAACACATCAAAGATTCTGCTTCTAGGTATGGCTGGCATCTGTCTCTCAATCCCCCACAGCACCTTCCTATAGACTCAAAGCCTCTTTTCAAATTTACCATCCCTTACAGGGATGGATTACTCAGGCTTACAGGCTTATTTGTGCTTACTTACTAATCTATAGTGAACAATTTCACAAAATCATGTAAAATTGTTCACTACAGATTAGTAAGTAAGCAAAGTAAACACTGTGCTTACCTTGCCTATTGGATAATCTGCCCGTCTTCAAGGGAAGGTCTGGCAGATTTTGAAGGTACCCTCCTCAACGGTATTAACTATGACCTCTCTCATGTTGCTCTCCCACACCTGGCAGCTAAGACTATCTGGGCCCCAGGACAAAGGCCAACTCCAATCCTTGTTTTAGAAAATTCAGACCTTTTCCTGGTTCAAAGCTCTAGGCCCTAATAGGCACACACCTAATTCACAGCCAATGTTTGCTCCACTAATTAAACTCATCTGGCTTCCTGGTGCTGACTATTGGCTGCCCACCTTGAGCACCTGCCCTCCTCCGGATACACACACCCATAAGGGAAACAGTTTTATAAAAGTCTTCTCATTCCACGGCCACAGTATAACTATGCCTCGCCCTTACGTGTACTTAGTGCGTTTTCTATGACAGGTCACACCAATACTGTAGACTAGCACCATTTGTCCACAGCAATATTGACACATTTCTGCTAAAATACATTAATACCCTCATCTCATGCAGATCATTTGGTGGGAAAAAAAGTGTCCATGTAACAATGTATGTGTCAATTCACATGACTCTTCCACTAAAAAATAAGGTGTGTTCTTGTGCTTTCTAGCTTGTGGGCGGCTTTTCTTTTTTCTTTTTCTTATTATTTTTAATAGCAACCTCACTAGACTTGGGCTAGTCATTCTTAGAATGCTTATATGCCAGAAACTTTAAGTTCTCTATAGTAAGGGGCAGGTGGTACAGAAAAGGGGGTGTAGCTGGAGAGTCATTTTATAATTTATCAAGGTATGGATCTAACACTTCGGCTTTTTTAAATCAAATATGCACACAAATAAATCAGCATACATCCATGTAGTGGGAGAAAGGTGTTTCTCACACACTGCCATGTCTACCTGCCAGCGAGGGCTATAGAATATACAAGAGGCTAATGGTTATGAAAAGGTTTTGTGACAGCTAAAGCAAACCTCAAACAGTCCCGTCGTCATTTCCCAGGGGAGCCCAGTGAGCTGTGGACTACCCTCTGTCCCTCCTGACATTCGCTAGTTTTCCCCTGGTGCAAGCCAAGGCTTAATGTTTACTAGCTAATACCTTTCTCTTTTGATCTTCCTCAAATTCTGTAAGACCACTGGGGCAAGAATGATAATTCTCATTTTAAAAAGGAGTGATTTAAGAAAAAGTGACTTGTCCAAAGTCATATATACTAGGAAGTGGCAGAACTGGGATTGAAATTCAGTGCAGTTTTTGGACAAACTCAGGGAATCCAATTTCACTAGCAGAGAGCAAACTCAGAAAACTGGTTGTTCAAAGAGGTGATGTGGTAAAGAAAGGAAAAGAGTTTCAAGGAGAGTTTAGAGAAATTCCAGGCACTTGGGTATAGAGCCCTTTTCCACCAACTTGAAGCAAAGCTTCCTGCTGAATGGAACCTGTCCCTTTAAGCAAAAAGTCTCTGTAGGAAACCCCATTGATGCCAGTGCTGTAAGGGCAGGGGAAGAGCAAAGGGAAGTTCCTGTGGATGTGGGGGAGGTCTGGACATGCAGGAAAAGGTGCTTGGACCAAGATGTGTTGACTTCTTTTGCTACCAACTAACAGGGTCAGGTGCCTGCCTTACCTGTGGGCTATAACTAATCTTGCATTTCTAAATCGTGTGGTGTCTGCATCCCTGCTGATGAGTCAATGGCACCATAAGTTCATATGTGTGTATGCAGGCCTGTATGTGCACATAGTCAGTTATCAAACAAAAATTTATAATTTATTAGTGACTTTTGATACCAGATACTTTGCTAGGTATTAGGGAACTGGAATTAAAAAGCAGACAGACATGACACTGCCATCGTAGATATCACTATCTAGTTGGGAAAACAGTAATTAAGTAAACAACTAAATAAAATAGTTGGAAGTATGTGCTGTGTGGGAAAGAAGTATGGTGCTGTGATCAAGAATAAAAGCAGAAGTGGGAATGGGGTGTGGGACTCTACAAGATACTGTTCAGTGAAAGCCTCTCCAAGAAAGTGACATTTAAGCTGAGAATTAAAGGATGAGAAGGGATCAATCAAGTAGCGTTCCTCAGCCTGAGGCCAGGTAAGGGGAGTTCTGAGGTAGGAGTTGAGGAAGGGATGCCAGGGTGCTGGGAGTGCCCAGGAAGCCTACTATTCTACTCCTGTTTTCTCTGCCCAATTCCACCTCAAGGGCTCTCCCTCCGTTCCTCCCTTGAGGCACCCCCTATCTGCTAGTCCCACCTAGGCTCCTCCAGATCCCAGGGAGGGGTGTTTCTTGCCCCTACCTTGACCTGTTCAGAGTTTTTCCTTGCCTGTTCCTGTCTTCCTCCTGCTACAGATCTCCTGGAACCAGGGGGTTGACTTGTGGTGGCATGAGCTCATGCAAGAAGCAGGGGATGAGTGTGAGCCTGAGTGGTGTGATGCTGAGGACCCACTCTTCATCCTATACACCAGTGGCTCCACAGGCAAACCCAAGGCAAGTGTGTATGTGTGTGTGTACTGTGTATATAGGGGTGAGAAGTGATTTTTTGAGGAGCATGTAATGACATGAATTTTACTCTACAACCCTGAGTTTCAGAAATGTCACATAACTTTTTCTAAACCAAATTAAGACATAAAATTCTCAATTTTTAGGTAGTGAGAAATTCAATTTTAGGCATGTTTTAATGCACCCCTCCCACCAGGGTGAGACAGTTCTGGTGGGGGCTTTCATGGTGCCCAGAAAGGAGAAAATAGTCAGTCCATGTGGCTGACATGGATGTTCCTTCCCATGCCTTCATGGTTTGGTTGAAGGAGAGTTTCCCTGTCAACTCCAGGCTAAAGGTAGGCACAGGAATCCCTCTTGGACTCCCGGGACCACAGCTCTTAAGAGTTCACTCCTTTACACATGCCACATTGTTAACGTCTAGTCACTCACCACGGCACAGTGTGGGAACTGGGCATTGGCTTCTACCATTCCTGGAAGCACTTAAGAAAACTCTGACTCTTAGATTTACTTGAAAGCTACGTTACACTACCATCTACCCACCCACTCCTAAATTCTTCTCTCCATATGCTTTGGACTATCCCTCAGTGGGCCTTTAGAAACATGATTTTGGCCCCTTCTTCCTAGGGTTGGCATAGGGATGGAATGAGCAAAGAGGATTGTGTTTTTCCCCCTACTAACTTACTCTGTGAATGTATAATTAAGTGTATATGTACCAATACACAACAAGGATGCTATTAAATGTGTGCTAGAAGAAGTGTACATGTATGAGAGTGATGTGGGTGGCTCAGAAATACCATCTGAGGGTGTGGGTGAGATAATGGACTGACTATGCATGTGTAGGGTGCAAGGAAATGAGATGGGAACATGGAGAAAAGGAGATTGAAGAGAGATGGATGCTATGAAAGGGTTGCTGGCAGGGCCAGAATCCTTGAGATGATCTTCCTCCAGTTCTCCTCCAGCCTTCATTTGGTGGTCAGTGGAGATGGGTAGAAAACCCCAACCTGAGGCCCTATTCTTCCTACAGGGTGTGGTACACACAGTTGGGGGCTACATGCTTTATGTGGCCACGACCTTCAAGTACGTGTTTGACTTTCACCCGGAGGACGTGTTCTGGTGCACAGCAGACATTGGCTGGATCACTGGCCATTCCTATGTCACTTATGGGCCACTGGCTAACGCTGCCACCAGCATTTTGGTGAGAAGGGAGCTGGGTCGTATGGCCACTTGGCCTAAAGTTGGGGATGGACAAGACGATCCTGGGTGACTAACTCCCAAGGCCACTTGGTCTAGAGACAGGAGGACTTACACAGTCACCTGTTTCCTGGACTTTGGAGAAAGAGGAGTCCTGAGGGGATTGTGTACACTGACTAGAAAGGCCTCTTGGCTTGTCTGGTCAGGGAGTAAAGATACTGGGGTTGGTTAGAAAGGGCAAAATACTGAGCCTGAGGGTATGGTAGGGGGATGGTGAAGCTACTGGAAAAGACCAGGGATGACCAGTCTTCACTGGGGTCAGTTTGAGGGGATCCCTACATACCCAGACGTGGGCCGCATGTGGAGCATTGTGGACAAGTACAAGGTGACCAAGTTCTACACAGCACCCACAGCCATCCGCCTGCTCATGAAGTTTGGAGAGGAACCTGTCACCAAGTGAGACCCCTCCCCTCCCTAGCTGCTGCCCCATGGGTGTCCCTCAGATCTGGGTACTGGCCTTTGTGCATAATCCATTCCATTCTGTTGCCCCAACTCCCTGGCCTAGAATAGGGAAGGGGGCAGAAGAGCCTGAGCATGTCTTCCTGGATCCCAGTGGTACTCAGAACCTTCTTCTCTCCCCACTCTCCTGCCCAAGGCATAGCCGGGCATCCTTACAGGTGCTAGGCACAGTGGGTGAACCCATCAACCCTGAGGCCTGGCTGTGGTACCACCGGGTGGTAGGTGCCCAGTGCTGCCCCATTGTGGACACCTTCTGGCAGACAGAGACAGTGAGTGAGGGGTTCAGAGGGCTGGGGCTCAGGGACAGTGTGCAAGGACTGACTCAAGCCCCTAATCTCTGACTTCCACAGGGTGGCCACATGCTGACCCCCCTCCCTGGTGCCACACCCATGAAGCCTGGTTCTGCTGTGAGTGAGGCTACCCTGGCTGGTCCTGGGCTAGGCAGGGGTAGGGTCTTAGAGCATTTGATCTACCTGGAGGGTGAGGACTGGACTGATATGTGTAAGGAAGTTGGGGTGCCAGGGCTTCTTGGGAAAGGTAGGGAGTTGAGTAAGAGTTGCCTCATTCCTCTCCTTGGTCCCTGTCTCCTGTTTGCTTCTAGACCTTTCCGTTCTTTGGCGTAGTTCCTGCAATCCTGAATGAGTCTGGGGAAGAGCTGGAGGGTGAAGCTGAAGGTTATCTGGTGAGGCCTTGGTCCTAGCGGGTTTTTTGAGGTGTGTGTCTGGGCGGGGGGAGGTCCACAAAGGGGTACTGTACTTTGCTTCAAGGCTTAGAATCTAATTTCTCCTGGTAGTTGCTTGGGGCTGAAGCTCCATATTTGGGGGTTTGTCCTCTGCTAGAAGACCCTGAGGGGAATCCTTCTGAGTACTTTGCCTGCATCTCTGCCCTTTGGACCATGAGGCTCCTAAGGGCCCTTTTAGAGTCTGCTCAAAGACTCCTAAGACAACGTTTTGGGTCTGGAAGATTTAGTCCCAGCTCTTCCTTTGACAAACATTCTAGAGTGAAAAGAGGCTTCAAACATAGTGGAAAATCACACAGTCAGCCTGCCTGGGCTCAAATCCTGGCTCTGCCTCTTCTGTGACCTCAGATAAGTTATCTAACCTCTCTGAACCTAAATTTGCTTATTTGTAAAATAGGGTTATACTAGTACCCTTGTCTCCTACTGGATTAATTAAATTAGGTAATCTGTATGAGGGGTTTAGCATAGAACCTCAGTTAGTGCTTGATAAATGTTAGCTACTGTGATTGTTCTATTAGTACTTGTAGGGACCTCAGAGACCACCAGCTGCCATTCTCCACCCCTGCTTCACTTTCCCAAGAGCAAGTTAGTAACAGGTACAGAGCTTGAATCCAGGCCTTCTGATTTGTAGCTTAAAGAGTTCTGTCCATCCCATCAATCTCCCGACATAGAATGCTATTGACTGAGGCAATAATTATTTGCTCATGTGTGGGCAATAATGAGTCTTTAGATTTTATTCATGAATTAAACTGAACCTGCTTTCCTGAGGGATTACCCAAAAGGAGACTCAAATTTACTACATGCTTATCACTAACAACACTGCTAGGCAATTTCCATATACTATTTAATTTAATCCTCAGGATAACTTTGGAAGGTAGACTATTTTCTCTGATTTTACAGATGAGGATCCTGAAGGTCAGAGAGGTGAAGTCACATACCCAAGGTCACACAGCTACTAAATGGCAGAGTTGGGATTCCAGGCCAGGATTGTCTATCTCTAAAGCCTATACTTTCTCCTGCCTCTCAGGAATGGCATTCAGGATATTTCCCCTCAGGTTTGGCACAGCTATGATTGTTTTCCAGTGAGACACTGTAGCAAATGTGACCACTGTGTCTTCTTCACTCCTCAGGTGTTCAAGCAGCCCTGGCCAGGTATTATGCGCACAGTCTATGGAAGTCACGCACGCTTTGAGACCACCTATTTTAAGAAGTTCCCTGGGTACTATGTGACAGGAGATGGTGAGCCTTGGCAACACCCCTTCACCACCTACCACCAAGACATGTCCCTTCCTCTTCCATTTTCAGGAAGAGTTGATTAGAGGTGAAGAACAGAGAGAGGAACATGTCATATGTGTCAGTGTCTGGTGTCCAGACAGAGCTAGAGAAGACTGTTTAAGGCAGGAATGAGTGTTGCAGGAGGGGTCTCAGGATGGCGCCACCTGAAATTTGATGTATGAGGAAAGAGGTTCTATTTTTCATTGCTCCTGTGCTGAAAGAGATGGGACATGTGGCAGTGTGTATTACTATGTGATGTGTGTCTCCACGTTTGGGGCCTGGGGATGTGGATCTGTCCGTCCATTGATCCATTCATCCATAAATATTTATTGAGCATCTACTATGTTTAGGCACTGTTCTAAGCACAAGGGATATTACCATGAATAAGATAGGCACAGTCCCTGCTCTTATGGAGTTTACATTCTAATAAGTGGAGACAGAAAAAAAAATCCAGCAAAAAAAAAAGCTAATATCAGGTAGTGAAAAGTGCTATCAAGAAAAATAAACAGAGCAGTGTGATAAAGTATCTGCAGGGATGGCCACTGTACATGGAATGATCAGAGAAGGTTTCATTTGACGTTTGAGCTGAGAACTGAAGGGTGAGAAAGAGCCAGGCATGGGAAAATCTGGAGTCAGAGTGTTCTGGACAGAGGGACACAAGCTTGAAATATCTGAGAAACAGAATGAAGTCTGTGTGGCTAGAATATAGTGAGCAATTGGAAGAATGTTATATGAAGTTGGAGAGGTAGATTATATAGGGCCTTGTGGCCAATGGTGAGGATTGGATTTTATTCAAAGCACAGTGGAAGATCTTTAGGGGTTTTAAGCAGGCGAGTGCTAAGAACTGATTTACTGTTTGAAAAAGAATTTTGCCTGATGTATGGAGAACAGACTTTAGTTTAGGTGGGTGTATTAGTTACCTATTGCCATGGAACAAATTACCCCAAATTTGGCAGGTTAAAACAACAAACATTGTATTATCTCAGTTTCTGAGGATCAGGAATCTGTGAATGGCTTAGCTGGGTGGTTCTTGCTCAGGGTCTCTCATGGGGCAGTCAGGCTGTTGATTGGGGCTGCAGTCATCTGAAGGTTTGACTGAGGCTGTAGGACCCACTTCTAAGTTCACTCACATGGCTGTTGCAGGAACCCTCAGTTCCTTGTTGCATAGACCTCTCCATAGGGCTACTCACAACATGACAGCTGGGCATCCCCAAAGGGAATGACCTGAGTGTGTGCAACCAAGACAGAAGCCTCAGTGTCTTTTATAACCTAATCTCGGAAGTGACATCCCATCACTTCTGCCATATTCTATTGGTCACACAGACCAGTCCCAGTAAAACGAAAAAGGGGACTACACAGAGGTATGAATACCAGGAGGCAGAGATCATTGGGGCCATCTTAGATGCTGGCTACCACAGTGGCAATAGTGGAAGCAGGAAGACTTGTTAGGAGGCTACTGCAGTGGGTGTTGCAGTTTGGTAATGTGGATTACTTATTCCTACTGTGGGGTATTTATTATGTTGTGCATTTCTTGGTGTGTGATCTTACCTCTGCTTGCCAGGCTGCCGGAGGGACCAGGATGGCTATTACTGGATCACTGGCAGGATTGATGACATGCTCAATGTATCTGGTGAGGGCCAGGGACCACTCTCCCATCTCGTTAGCTGTGCTACCCTGGCAACTCCCAGCGAAAGCCTTCTGAGAGCCCCAGTACTGTCCTTTGGCTAGACCATGCCTGGGATGCAGCATTCAGTTACGGCCCAGGTTTTAGAGAAAGAGCAAGGAACACGAATGTGCCTAGAGGAGGGGAACCAGGTTGGTGGAGTAACTGGAAACATGTCATGTGAGGAATGAATGAAGGGCCCTCCCCATTTGACCAGACTAGGCCCACCCTGTGGGAACAGGTGGAGCAGAGGCTGGGTTCTCTCTCATGGCACTTTTTTTCCCTTGACAAGGACACCTGCTGAGCACAGCAGAGGTGGAGTCAGCCCTTGTGGAACATGAGGCTGTCACAGAGGCTGCTGTGGTCGGACACCCTCACCCTGTGAAGGGCGAATGCCTGTACTGCTTTGTCACCCTCTGTGATGGTCACACATTCAGCCCCACCCTTACTGAGGAGCTCAAGAAGCAGAGTGAGGAGCCTCCCTGGGCAGGGACTGCGGGGTCTATCAGGGTAGCCCAGTTACCACAGCAAGTTGTTGGGGAGGGGAAGTGATCTGATGACCTGATGCCAGGGGACTCCAGGGGCCAGTTGCCCTCCTTCCACTCAGTCTCCCACTAGTCTCTCTGCCACCACTGGGCTAAGTGCTTTAAATGCAATATCCATTTAATCTGTACAATCACCCCCATGAAATAAAGCTTGTTACCCTCATTCTAAAGATGAAGAAACTGAGGCTCAGAGAAGTTAAATCACTTGCTAATCACTGCTAACAATTACTGCTAGTAACCCTAGCAAGCTGATTTCAGAACCTGAGTTCCATAAGGGTGGATTAAGATAAAATGAGAGTAAAGACACAATGTATTAAAAAGACAGAGAGATAGGCAGTGAGCCTGAGAATGACTTATGTGAGCAGGGCCTTGAAGGGAAATAGGTGGGAAACAAAGCCATCTCTACCTTGGTTTCTGGGGGCCTGGCTAAGGATTCTAAAGAAATGCTTGATTTCTTGGTTATAGTTAGAGAAAAGATCGGCCCCATTGCTACACCGGATTACATCCAGAATGCACCCGGCTTGCCTAAAACTCGCTCAGGTATGCTCAGAGGCCCCCCAGGGACTGGCTGAGGCCTGGGGGTGGTGGTGTGTGTGTGCATGAAAGGCTTTAGCAGGGCTGGGGAGGGTTGGTGCTGTCAACAGGTAACCAGAGGCCTGTGGTTCCCCCAGGGAAAATCATGAGACGGATACTTCGGAAGATTGCTCAGAATGACCACGACCTGGGGGACACATCTACTGTGGCTAACCCATCTGTCATCAGCCATCTCTTCCGCCACCGCTGTCTGACCACCCAGTGAACAAGACCCTGACCTTTACCCAGGATTCCCTGTTTGGCTCTCAAAAGTTGTGCCCATCCTCCCTTGCCCCCCATCCAGCAGTGCTGAGGGCTAGTGAACACCCACACCGCCTTCCTCAACCTGCTGTCTGGGACCAAGGACCAGCTTTGGCCCTGGGTGGAGACAACTCCCTGTGACTGCCAAGCAGATGGGACAGGGCCCAGGTGAACCTTATATTGCTGTATCCCCAGACTGCAAAGAGCCTTTGGAGCCCAGAACAGGGACCTGAAGGTTATGTCCCCAACTCACATGTTCAGAGGGCAAGTGAGAGCCTAGACTGAAGCAGGAAGGCAGCTCTGTAATCCTGTCAACTCTCTCAGGAAGCACCAGTACTTACCTTGGACATGCACTTGCACTTAGAAATGCCTATTTGTGAGTCCTGGAACAATTACTATTTTTTAAAACACTTTGCCGGTTCTGTTTTGGGTTTAAATTCTCTTTTGTGCCAGATGATAGTGCTGTCTGCCCATTTGCTCCAGGGGCTGTGAGGGTAGGCTCAGTCTCCAGAGGGTTTTCAGATAATCTGCTTCATTGAGAGAGTAGACATGCTCCTAGGACCAGAGGAGCTTGTCTTCCTTGTCTTCTGTTCCCATCCACCCCTGAACAGAGCCCGGCCCATGAGAGACACTCTCAGATGAGACTCTCTTCTTGCCTCAGTCGTGCTCAAGCCCTTTGGATGCAGGAATAAAGTCTGTAAGCTCAGGAAGGTAGTGACTTGTTTTCATGGGTATCTTATATGCTGTATACTCATTAGCTGCTCTGATTTGGGAGGGGGATTGGGGGATAGAAAGGGAGTGGTTTTCTCCATGCCTACCCTGATATCCTCTTTTTAGAACTTATGGTTTAGGCATAGGTACACAGGGCTTCACTCACAGGCCCCTTGACAAGTCCTCGAGTTGAGCAGAAGACTCAAAAGCAGTTGAAGCCAGTTCACAACTGTGATGTCCCATCATGGTTACCCTCACTCCTGCCAGGGACCCTCTTTCCTCCCTATGATCCAAAGGGACCATTAGTGAGTGATTAAGGATTGGAACTTCAGGGTCATAGGGTTTGAGTCTAGGGAGATCCTGATTATAGCCCAGTCACCTCCAAGCCACCTTAAGTGTGCTGACCCAGATTATGGCTCCTCCCTCCCCTATAAGCACAAACCAAGGAATCACAGAACCAGCAATGTAGTTTTATATAAGGCAGAGTTGGGGAAAGGCTGTGCCCCTCCACTCCTCGTATTGCCCCCTTCAGTCCTATCCCAAGTCAGGCACTGGGATCTGCTGAAAAGGCTGATGAGGGGCTAAAAGGAGGGTGGCAGGGTTTATGGACCTTTACCTCAGAGAAACTTCTCTTCAGCTGTACCCACAGTCCAAGGATTTGGGGGCCTCTAGATCTCATATGGAAACCCTGGTGGTGTAGTGGTTAACAGCTACGGCTGCTAACCAAAAAGCAGTTCAAATCTACAAGGCGGTCCTTGGAAACTCTATGGAGCAGTTCTACTCTGTCCTACAGGGTTGCTATGAGTCAGAATCGATGCAACGGCAACAGGTTTGGGTTTTTTTGGTTAGATCTCATCTAAGGGAAAAACAGCTTTTCTGGTCCTCATATGGAATGCTGGGGGAAGGTACCCAGCATTTACCCTCGCATGAACACCCTAGAGGTCTCTAGAAGAGACTAGCCCTCCCAAGGTAGGAGGAGGACAGCCCCTCAGAAGGGCTAGGAGAGGAATGACAAGGACAGAGGATAGAAGGACTCTTGAAGTCTTGGCCAGCCTGGCTGTGCCTCACACAGGGTATGGGTTGTCCAAGACTGCCACTCCTGCTGCCACACCACCATCAGCATGCTCGATGGCTTTAGTTCGAAGCAGATGGCCCGCGTGCGTGTTCATCACAAGTGTCTTCCCTTGCCTACAGAGATGGGGGCAGAAGACACACAACTCTGTCACCTGGACTCAGTCTCCAAACTCAGAACATTTCACTGGTCCCAGCTGAACAGAACATGGGTGACTACCCTCAAGAAAGTGCTAGGATTTTGGAGTCAGATTTGGGTGTGAATCCTAGTGTGGAAGTTACTAGCTCTGTGTCTTTGAGCAAGTTACTTAGCCTTTCTAAATACCAATTTCCTCAACTTAAAATAGGGATAATAGCCCTTACTTTGAAAGATGGTCATGGGGATTAAATACAGCAGGAAAAACACTTGGCATGATGCCAGGCTCACATTTCATGCTAAGTAGCTATGAATTTCCTCCTCTACCTCTCTCAAGATGGCTAAGTTGGTGTTTGGGATTGGTGGGAAGGGTAGGTGGACATGATACAAGTGGTAGAGGAGGAGGTTATAGAGAGGATAGACTCTGGTATCCTCGTCTTGCCCTGACCTTGGAGTGAGTATTTTGCAGAAAGCAGTATGAGACCAGGAGCTATTCCATACAAATTCCTGAGTCCTCCTCTCCTCCTTTAGTGCTTAAATCCAAACACAGGGGGCTAGGAGCCCTAGTGGTGCAATAGTTAAGTGCTTGGCAGCTAACCGAAAGCTCAGCAGTTTGAACCCACCAGTGGCTCTGTGGGAGGAAAGACCTGGTGATCTGCTTCTGTAAAGATTTCAGCCTAGGAAACCCTATAGAGTAGTTCTACTCTGTCCTATAGGGCTGCTATGAGTCGGAATCAACTTGACGGCACCTAACAAAAACAAAAAAAAACAAAAACAAAACCCAAACCTGTTGCTGTTGAGCTGATTCTGACTCATAGTGACCCTACAGGACAGAGTGGAACTGCCCCATAGGGTTTCCAAGGAGCACCTGGTGGATTCAAACTGCCAACCTTTTGGTTAGCAGCCATAGCTCTTAACCACTACACCACCAGGGTTTCCCTAACAACAACAACATGAAAAACATTATGTAGGCAAATCCAGGGGGCCGCTCAGCTTTTCAAAGTCACCAAGTAGCATCTAGCTGGCCCATCCTACCTTTCTCCAGAATCCCCAGTAGCCTGGGATCTGGACCCAAACTCTCTTCTAGTCATAGGTTAGCAATTCATATTTTCTCATACCTGTTGATACTACTTGCAATTTCCTTTACAGTTGCAAAGCACATCTCATCTAGGCTTCATTTGATAACCCTGTGAGGTGGGCAGGTCTTGGGTCATTGGTCTCATTTTACAGATAAGAAAACAGCTACCACAGCCAAGGACTGGCAGAGCTGGGACTGAAGCCCAGGATTCCTGACTCCCTGTCCACTGTTCCCTCCAGGCTTGCTTGGCTGGCATTTTGGCAGGGAGGTAATAGGAAAAGCCCCCTCCTGATTGCTCACCTGACATAGACCCCAAAGATGCCCAGCTCTGAGATGCACTGGACCACTTGGGGAGGGCTGCCAGGCCGCAGCAGGCAATTCCCAAAAGGCTCAGGTTCAATCTTTTCCATGAGGATGTAGGAGGCCCTCTCTTCGCTGTCCTTCAGTCGCTCCAAGGCCTGCACCATCTCTTCTCCATACAGGTTGTTACCTGCAATTCCATTGGCTAGTCACCCTGGTCCCTCTGCCAACCCACCCACCCTATGCCCTCACTTCTGGGGCCACGTGGGCAAGTCTCAGCGGGCTACTTGTCAGCAGCCTCAGTTCCTGATATCAGCTTAGTGAGGCCAGTGTAGGTCTGGTTACTAAGGACAGAATGTCAACCTTGGTGGGAAAGCCCTTACTCACACATATGAACATACCTTCCACCACACCGTTCTGCCCTGGTTTTCCTCCTACCTGTCTATGCATGTTCCTTCTCAGCCTCCATCCCTGGCTCCTCTCCTCTTAAATGGTGGGGTTCCAAAGGAATCTGTCCTCCACCCTTGTTCTCCACACACACACCTTTTTCCTGGGAGACCTCTTCCATTCCCAGGGCTCTAGCTATATCCAGTAAGTTGTTAACTCCCAAGTCTTCAACTCAAGCTCCCTGCTCTAGACATCATATGGATGTTTCACAGGCTCATAACTTCTGCTTAAACCTTCCCCTCCTGGATCCCCAGAAAGCATGGCCCCCAGACTCTCTGTCAGCACAGAACTAAAACCATTCCCGAGGCCAACTCTTCAGACAAAGATTAGACTGGACTACGGGACATAAAATGATACTCGTGAAGAGTGTGCTTCTTAGCTCAAGTAGATACATGAGACTAAATGGGCAGCTCCTGTCTGGAGGTGAGATGAGAAGGCAGAGAGGGCCAGGAGCTGGTTAAATGGACACGAGAATTCAGGGGTAGAAAGGAGGAGTGTGCTGTCACAGTATAGGGAGAGCAATTAGGGTCACATAACATGTAAGTATAAATTTTTGTATGAGAGACTAACTTGAATTGTAAACTTTCACTTAAAGTACAACAACAACAACAAAAAAAACCCTGCCCCTCCTGGATCTTCCGACTCCCAATCAGGTGAAAGGCATATCTGAGTCATATTTAACTCCTCTCTCTCCATTACCTCTCAGATCCACTAACTGACAGGTCTCTCCAAATTGTGCTCCACACTGTTGTAGCCCTAGCTCAGTTTCTTCATCGCTCTTCTGGACAACCAGCTTCCATGGTCTCTGTCACTAATGTCTCCCCTCATTCCAGGCCATCCTCTACTGTGGCTGAAACATGGATCCTGAATGTAGCCCCTTCCTCCTTCAAACTCTCTAACGGCTTCCCACTATCCTCAAGATAAAATCCAATTTCCTAACACAAATTCAATGCCTTTTATTATCAGGTCCCAAACCATCTTTCCCAGCCCAAATCCCGCCTCCTCCTGTCTCCCACACTGTACTCCAACCTCACTAGTCACTCATTACTCTCCAAACACCATGCTTTCAGTGCCCCTATGCCTTTGCTTGTGGTTGTTCCTTCTGTATGGAATGCTCGCCCCCACTTTTTGCATCTGAGAAACTCCTGCCCATCCCTTAAGATCAAAATCAAGAATCATCTTCTCTGGCCCATGAACCCTGTCCTCAAAGAGTTTTACAGTAGGCAGGAAGGCAGATACATATTCCATCTAACCTCCTAATATATATTCCCCCACCCGCTTCTCCACAATCCACCCACAGGTACCTCAGACCAAACTGGTCCAAATCCTCCAGTGCTGGTTAATCCCCTGTGCTCCACAGCATGTGGTCACAGGGTCTCCTGGGACACTGACCAAGGTGTGGGTCTATGTCGATTTGTATCCCCCAGAGCCAGGGACTGTGCCCATAGCAAGTGCAAGTCAGTGCTGGTGACAGCCTGCTAGCCCCCTTTCACTGAGCAGCACTGCAAAGGGGTAATCACCTACCTCCTCCCTCCCTCTGGGGCTTTAGCACAAACTGGTTAGGGGCAGCAAGGGCCTCAGTGATGGCCTGGTCCCCTTCTTCACCCTGGCAGGAGGCAAGAAAGCAGTCACCAGCAGTCTTAAAGTCGAAGAGGCAAGAGCAGGAGGGGAGACAACCATAAGCCCCTTCAGGCTGGATGATACTAACTGGATGCCCCCATCCAGTCCACTGCAGCAACGAGTACAATGAGAACAGGCCTTCTCCGGCAACACCTCAGAGCTCTGCGGCAGTAGGCCTAGAAAGGGTGTAGAAATTCCCTAGATCTTGCTGTCTGCCTCAGTCCCTTCCCCTGGTTACCATTCTCATCTCCACTTTTGCTGAGGGAGCTTACAATCAATTCCAGCTCCCATCCTCCCATCATGAGGCTGCCCCAGTCCCACCTACCTCAGGCTCTAGTGGTTCTTACA